CGAGCCAATACTCCGAAAACATCGAAGTTTCGTCTCAACAACTCGCGCTGGCAAACACTTGTACAGAGTTTAGTTTCATAGTTTACAGAGCTTATAGCTTATAGCTTATAGCTTATAGCTTATAGCTTATAGCTTATAGTTTATAGTTTATAGTTTATAGTTTATAGTTTATAGTCTACAGTCTATAGTCTATAGTCTATAGTCTATAGTCTATAGTCTATAGTTTATAGTTTATAGTTTATAGTTTATAGTTTATAGTTTATAGTTTATAGTTTATAGTTTATAGTTTATAGTTTATAGTTTATAGTTTTACGAAATTAAATAGGCAAAATGGGCCAAAAACCGGAATTTTGTTTTTTTTTTCGTTTTACTGCCCCCACGGATCATATAGGCAGTTAAAACTTGATGTGGGATGTTTTTTCTGAATATGCTACCGTCTGACGTATTGGGTTTTTTATTTAACACAAAAGCACATTTGATTACCTTATCCGGCTATACCCTTTACTAAAATCGCGCATCGAACAAGCAGCAGTTTTCGCTCACACGGGTGTCAACTTTTTCGGTCCGCTCTTCATTACGGAGAAAAAACGTAGGAATAGAAATAATATAAAGGCATACGGATGTGTCTTTATTTGCACGTCCGTTAAAGCAATGCATATTGAAATTGTGAGCGATCTCACGACCGAAGGTTTTCTCGGTTCTTTCAGACGTTTCATTGGGCGTCAAGCTATATCTATTCACGTATACTCTGATAACGACATCTCATAATCATATCGACGAATTATACGCCTTATTCGGATCAGCAGAATTTAAAGAATCCGTAACCGAGTTCGCAACAATCAAAAACATAACATGGTATTTCAAACCAACGTCAACAGCCCACTGTGGAGGCATTTTGAAGGCCGCGATCAAATCATTATTGAAAGTCATGAAACATTATTTCAAACGCGTTGTAGTCGAATGCCTTTTTACATTCGAAGAAGTCAATACGTTAGCAATAGAAATCGAAGCAATTTTAAATTCACAATCGTTATGCTCTATTTCGTCAGACCCAAACGACCCTATTGCATTACCATATGCGCACATATTAGTTAGTCGTCGGCTCACGATGCTACCTGAAGATAATCTTTTAGTTCCAGAAAATCGACCGACTTCCTGGAAAGTTATCAGTAAGGCTCGTCAAGTCTTCCGGAAACGGTGGTATCAGGAACACGTAAATGAACTACGAAGGCGCCAGAAATGGCTCAAATTTAGCGGGTAGTTAAAGATTGACGCAATCGTCATTCTGATGGACAGAAATCAGCCTTGCATGCGATAGAGGTTGGGCAGAGTGACAGAAATGTATCCGAGTGGTGATGCAGAAGTCTGAGTGAGTCGTCACAGTCAAGACCACCAACGGCATCGTGAAATACAACACAACTCAATTAGGTCCACTAATCGAGAATATTTAAAATAATTGTACCATTTTGTAATAAACTGTTTATACTTATAACACGCAACACACCATTCATCAACACAATGACATTGCTCGCTTCACTCGCAACGGGGGGAATATGTTCGAACTTAGACCTTTGCCGCGACTAAGAAACTTATTACAGGGTTCAAGTAGTTCGACGCGTAGATCACCGTGAATAACCTTATACCTCCAAATACGGGTCACCGAGGACTATTAAGTCTTTTGTCTATTAAGTTCTGCCCGGACCGGTCCTACAAGGGACATCACCCAATTCATACACGCCGATTTTTATGAAATTTTTATATGGTATAGAACTCGAAAAAATATTTCACACATATTTCTTTTTATCGGCGAATATCCACTTTAAAGTGGCAAAAATAACCCTTAAAGTTGTGGTCGAAAAAAATATTTTCAGAATGCAAATTTTTCTGTTTCAGAAGGCCCATAATATGGCGTAAGTAGATTTTTGAAAAATTTGTTTGTTTAAAAAATATGTTAAAAATTATCATTATTTTGCAAATTTTTTAAATAAAATGTTCAACTATTTTTATCAAATTTCGCGTACGTAAACTATGTGTCCAAGGAAAGAATACGGATAAATTTGAATTTTTAATTTCGCTCTTGGAAAAAATATTACTGTCGTTGATGTTATACGTACATTTTATACCTTCCGTTCGGCGTACGATTGATTTCTATACATAATATTCTGGAAATCATATTATATTACATTTTTTATACTACTTTATTTATAAAAAGAATTTGAAAGTCTATAGGCGTAATCATGTGCTTGCCATAAATCGGCTAACGGCTATGCCTTCTTTTCTCGCAGTTTTAACAAGTAATAGACTTTTCTTAAGTGTCACCCTCTGAAACGCGAGGGTGTTTGGCAGTTAGTAAATATAAAAAATATACCGCCACCATAGATTTCTTTCTCGCAGTAATGCGATAAAGCATTAAAATGAATTTCAAATTAATTTGCATATTTTAAAATCATCAATACATTTTTCAAACTCTTATAAAAGCCCTGAAATTTTTTTTGAGATTGCACCTATCCTCCGATTTACACTGAAGATAGGTTCCTTAGAAAACCGTGTAACGTGAAATCGTAGATTTTTGTACGTAAAATCGTGTAAGGGTTATTCTACGCCAAATCGATCACTTTTGGAAGTCACCATATCCGGTTTTGCTCTAATCGAAATATGTTATAGTCCATATGAAATTAAGGGGGGTTTAAGTCATCATTTCGCCGGTTTCGAATTCGTTAATGAGTGACAAGCCTTCAAAGTTTGCAATTTTTGCCCATTTTGGTGAAAATCGGGTCTACTTAGGAATTTTTTTCTTAGAAACTACGCAACCGATTTAGCTAAATTTTTTTTGTTTTATTCACGAAGAATTGGTCTATTTTGAAATATTTTTTCTAATTCGGTCAATTTGTTGTAAAATGTCGGAAAATTTAAACAAATTTTTTTTTGCGTTTTTCTCAATAAGGGGTGAAAAAAGGGTTAAAATTTATAAAAAGTATAGTCATATTCCTTGAAGCTTCTCCTTGAAAATGAGCTCTTCAGAAGGATGGAGCCTCAAAAATTGACGTCTCTACAAGCTGGAATAGGACGCGGGGTACCCCCGTTTCAGGTAGGTGAGTCGTGTGCTCCGCTATTATGATCGGTTTTTTTATACCATCGGTTTCAAAACAATACGACAAGACTTCGTATACGACTAAATGAGCCTGTTCATATCTAGCAAAGTATATTAGTATTTACTCTTGGTCAATGATACATTTATAATTATGTTAGATTTAATTGTAAAGTGATATAAGTATGAACTATTTGTTTGGTTATCGGTTTGAAAATAATAAAAGCGTAAAAGTCATTAGGTTGTAGAAAACATGTCCGACGAGATAGCTACGCAATATGAAAGCAAAAAGAGTTTTACTAATTCAACTATTTATTTAAGTGATGTCGGTGTTTTTGCAAAATGGCATTCTTGTACAATTACTGATGATAGAGGGGCCATGCTATGTTATTGGAGAGAGCATTAAAAAACTTGCTATGTACGCTAGTTTACAAAGATTGTTAGTAAATTTATTTCTCACTCTTAAAGATTTATTTCTAACCTCCTTTGGCAACAGCATTATCAATAACAGGGTCTAAAAGTTTTCACAGCTTTGCGCCATTATCAAATGAAGAAAATAAAGTAGGACTTACTCGTACGATAATGGTGGCTCTGTACTTAGTGTATGAATTAACTGACGTTATATTTTTTCCAACCACACACAATGCTTTCCATACTTTTGATCACAACCCACTATTATCTCATTGCGATAGAAAGAAATCACCACTTCTTCGCGGATTCTATCAAGTAATGATGCCTTTTTTAAAATATAAACAATAAATATAGGAATTAATATCTATGAATGAAGTTATGATTAAAAAAGTCGTATACGAAGTCTTGTCGTATTGTTTTGAGACCGATGGTATAAAAAACCCATAATAGCGGTATCATAATAGCGGAGCACACGACTCACCTACCTGAAACGGGGGTACCCCGCGTCCTATTCCAGCTTGTAAAGACGTCAATTTTTGAGGCTCCATCTTTCTGAAGAGCTCATTTTCAAGGAGAAGCTTCAAGGAATATGACTATATTTTTTATAAATTTTAACCCTTTTTTCGCCCCTTATTGAGAAAAACGCAAAAAAAGAATTTGTTTAAATTTTCCGACATTTTATAACAAATTGACGGAATTAGAAAAAATATTTCAAAATAGACCAATCCTTCGTGAATAAAGCAAAAAAAATTTAGCTAAATCGGTTGTGTAGTTTCTAAGAAAAAAATTCCTAAGTGGACCCTATTTTCGCCAAAATGGGCAAAAATTGCAAACTTTGAAGGCTTGTCACTCATTAACGAATTCGAAACCGGCGAAATGGTGACTTAAACCCCCCTTAATTTCACATGGACTATAACATATTTCGATTAGAGCAAAATCGGAGATGGTGACTTCCAAAAGTGATCGATTTGGCGTGGAATGACCCGTAAATCAAATTAAAAAGATTCAGTTCTTCATAAAAAATTCCAATTATTTATGTCAGACAGTAAATCTTTGAGAATAAGTTTCACTCTCTAAAATCAAGTATTTCTTGATATAACAGAACAAAATGTGTCACTTAGTTGTTAGTACTACAGAGGAAAAATTAAAATCTTTACATGAGGAAAGGGTGCGACCGTTTATGACAAAAAGTTGAATACTACAAAAATTGTTGCTGAAATAAAAAGACGTTAATTATGATAATATTCTATTCAACTCAAAGCATGCGGATATCAGATTCTTGTTCATCAGATGAAGCTAAAGAATTTTCAAATAAAACATTTTAATACTTTTTAAAAATGCATATTTTATATGCAAATATTCTAGTTACATCAGTTTTATGTTATATTGAAGTAATGTTTTACTGTTTTCAAGTGACATTCAATAGAACTAAATTCAATAAAACTATTTATGAGAAATGAAGAAATTTTAATTGCTTAAGAAAGTAATATGTGTTACGTACCAGATCTGGAATCAATAATTTTTTATGTGATAATGCTAAATCTTTAGAGGCACAATCAACCACAAATATTCCGTCCATTTCATTTTCTCTACAAATGCACTGTTTTACATGTGATTTCGAGTTTAGATATTTGGAAGATTTTGATTTTAAAGTATACTCAGACACATTATACATCTGTTCCGGTCCATAACAAATTGAATCATGTCCTGGGTTTATAATGAAGTAATTTCGAACGTAAGGATGCATTTTTCCCTCCAAGTAGCGGACAAAATCGTATAGATTGCAGTCGCATATTATAGGATTGCTGCCAACGAATATGTTTACGGCACGTGTTTTATTTTGATATTTCGCTATTTCTTCTGCCCGAGTCATATAAATGTGCTGTATTTTATTATGTTGGAGATATACTGTAATGTTGTCCGATGCAAATTGTAGATCTTCAGCCTGAAATAAAGTCATACAAGAAAGAAGTTATTTAGAGATTATAATGAAATAAATGTGATGAATTTATGGTCGCTGTCTTATTTATTTAGTATTGTAGCCATCTTATATGCTGGTTAGGATTCTCGGAGAGAGCGTACAGGAAATAACGGAGTTACAAATTTTCTTTCGCAATTAACGCTCTCTCTCTCTCTCTCTCTATCTCTCTCATGTAAGCCACGAAGTGCAATTATAAAAACTAAACAGGGATTATAAAATTACATGTAAGAAAATTAATCAAGAAACAACGGTGTGAATAATAGCATTGAATGTTTGCCATTACAGGTAGGATTAATAATTAGTCTAAGTTATTATATTATTATCTTGTTTAAAATAATAGTTTCTTTGCTATTACAGAGAAACGATTCTGCTTATTATCCACCAATAACCTACATATTAAAGAAATCATTTTATATATATATATAGACCTACCAATAACCTACATATTAAAGAAATCATTATATATATATATATCTTTTCTCTCGTCAACCAGGCGTCCAGAAGTAACTCTGTCCTCTCCCGAATGGCGTCCAGGTATTCTCTCCGAACTCTCCATTCCGAACGGGCGACCAGTAGTTTTCTCCCGTACTCTCCTGTACTTTACCTGGGGCGTCCAGGAGATATTCTGTGCTCTCTCAGTCGACAGGCGTCCAGGAATATTCACCGAACTCTCCATGTCAACCGAATGTCCAGGAACAAACTCCCGTACTCTCCCTCTATTCACCAGGCAGGCGTCCAGGAGGGTTTCGCCGTACTCTCCTGCCTGGGTATCAACAGTTATCTCCAGGTGGGCGTCCAGGAATTGTTGCCGAACTGTCCCATCGGAGTCTCTTAATCTTTATCCTACGGCAGGCGTCCAGGTATTGGTCGCCGAACTCTCCTGCCGGAGTCCCTAACAGCTAAGTTCCTTCTCCAGCAGGCGACCAGGTATTTTCGCCGGTCTCTCCTGCCGGAGTCCCTAGGCTAGTCCGATCGACCAGGTATTCTCGCCGATCTCTCCTGCTGGAGTCCCTAGACTAGTCCGAGAGCGGCCGATAGTACTTACCTCGTACTCTCTCCCAGACTGCCAAATAGGCCCGTTCCGGGCGCGCGACTCTATTTTATATAGGCCGGTTGCTATCCTGCGGCCGAGCTATCAACAACGCGTCGCCAAGTTCCGCGATCGCTGCTCGCGGCTCGCGGGTCGCGCCTTGCCTCTCGCTCCGCTGAGCGGCCGACGAACTCTCGCCTCGCAACAGAATTTCGATTATTCTGGAATATTCGCTTTTCTCGAATGTTCCCGACGCTAAATATTATTTCGATCTATTCTATTGGCATCAAGTATTATTGTCTCTAGGTTAATAAGGTGATCGTAGTGTGGCGACAGGGAAAGTTCCGAGTGGGAAGCGAGGTCTGGATTTTGTCAGAGATCTTTTGACCCGTCGAGTCAATAGAGTCATTAAGTTGTAAATAATTTTGCGCTGGCTCGGCGGGTCTAAGAGGCCCTCGGCCCTTTCCACTCGGGACTTCCTAAAAAAGGAGAGAGTTTTCTCCTTCGTCGGAAAATGTTTTCGGGAGACATTCGAGTCTCGATCTCCGCAGTAAACGCATCGCGCCTTCTATATCAATAAAGTATTTTGCCACGTACTTGATTGTATTCATTTCACGTACATCACCTCAAATTGGTGACCTGCCGACGTGATTTTCGGAAAAAGAGGTGTCGTGAGTGAATTATATATACTTTTTCGTGTTATCAGTTTTTTTATTTATCAAGCGTAGACGCTAAATAGTGACAATGGGTAGTGAAGGTGCGAATCCTCAATTAGGTGATGCGGGCGCGAGTTCTAGTGACGAAGTGAGTGTTGTGTCGCAAAATTTGCGTATACCTCAGTTTTGGCCATTAAAAGTCGCATTATGGTTTAAACTATTAGAGGCTCACTTTACGTCCGCGCGCATTACGAAAGACGAGACTAAGTTTAATATCACCATCGCTAATTTAGGTGAAAAGTACATTGAGCAGGTTGAGGATATTGTGGTCGATCCGCCCGAGTCAGGACAATATGAACTCTTAAAAAAAGAACTAATGAAACGGTTAACTGAATCGGACAGTACTCGTGTGCGGAAATTGCTCGAAGGCGAGGAAATCGGTGATCGCACACCCTCGCAGTTCTTCCGCGATTTAAAAAAACTCGCGACTCCGTCAGTGCCGGATGATTTTATAGTGACGTTGTGGAAAAATCGGTTGCCCGCGAATACTCAACGGGTGCTTGCAGCCGCGACAGAGACGAACATCACGGCGCTCACGGAAATGGCGGACAGGATCCACGAGATTCGTCCGGAACGTGGACATCTGGCATCCGTGTCTCGTGATGGCGAGGTGATGGAGCTTCGAGAAGAAATCCAGAAGCTGCGTTTGCAATTGAGCGAGGTGACGCAAAGACAAGGACGTTCTCGCAAACCACAGAGAAGACGCAGCGGAAGTCGAAGCCGTAGCCGCGATGGAAGTGCCAGCAGACGTGGATTATGCTGGTATCACTGGCGATTTAAGACGCGGTCCACGAGATGCCAAGCTCCATGTTCCTGGGTACCACCGTCGGGAAACGAGACGAGCCGTCGGTGAATGCGGCACACTACGACGGTCCAGCGACCCGCCGCATCTTTGTGACTGATAAGGTTACAAAGACGGACTTCTTGGTGGATACAGGCGCCGATGTCTGCGTTTTTCCCCGAAGTCGCCTGCGTGTACCAGCGAAAAAGTGCGAGTACGAATTGTTCGCAGCGAATGGTACACGGATTGCAACGTATGGCACAATTGCGCTGGACCTAAATTTCAAATTGCGGCGGAGTTTTAAATGGCGTTTCATCGTTGCCGATGTAAGCACGCCCATCGTGGGAATGGATTTTTTATCCTATTACGGTTTGCTGGTGGATCCGCGGAACAAGCGACTCGTCGACCCAATGACGAAGTTGTCAGTGACCGGGTACGAAGCCGCTGCGGATATGACATCCGTAAAAACGATAGTTGGAGATTCAGCTTATCATCAGCTCCTGCTTAAATATGCTGATCTGACTCGACCACCAGTATTTACAAGGAAAACCGTAAAACATAGCGTGCAGCACCACATCGAGACGACGCCAGGACCACCTGTCTATAGTAAACCTCGTCGCCTGCCGCCGGACAGGTTGAAGCAGGTCAAAAAGGAGTTCGACCTGATGCTGCAACAAGGAGTAATCCGGCCGTCGAAGAGTCCCTGGGCTTCACCCCTTCACGTGGTCCCCAAAAAGGACGGTAGCCTTCGACCGTGTGGCGACTACCGTGCGTTGAACGCGCGTACGGTACCGGACAGGTATTCACCCCCGCATATTGAAGATTTCGGCCATCATTTGTACGGGAAAAAGGTATTCTCAAAAATAGATTTGGTGAGAGCGTATCACCAAATACCCGTAGCACCCGGCGATATCGAAAAAACCGCAATTACTACCCCTTTCGGGTTATTCGAGGCTGAAAACATGATGTTTGGTCTTCGGAATGCTGCACAACCATGCCAGAGGTTCGTCGATGAGATAACCCGCGGTTTAGATTTTGTTTTCGCGTACATAGACGATTTTTTAATAGCCTCTGAAGACGAGAAGCAGCATTACGAACATTTAAACATCTTGTTCAAACGATTTAGTAAATACGGCGTTGTAATTAATCCCGCGAAGTGTGTTTTCGGCGTGAAGGAAATATCTTTCCTCGGGTATTCCGTTACATCGGCTGGAATAAAACCTTTAGCCGAACGCGTGGACGCTATCGTAAATTTTACGAAACCCGAAACGGTAAAACAGCTCCGCAGGTACTTAGGTATGATCAATTTTTACCGTCGGTTTGTACCTGGGGCTGCTAGAATTTTAAGTCCTTTAAATTCATTATTAAAAGGTTCGAAAAAGGGAAATGCGTTAATTCCTTGGACAGAGGAGTCGGAACTAGCATTTAAAGAATCGAAGCGTGCTTTAGCCGACGCGACTATATTAGCTCACCCCGTTCCTGGCGCCGCGCTTAGTTTAGCTGTCGATGCGTCGAATTTTGCGATAGGGGCAGTACTACAGCAATATATTGATAATGTTTGTCAATCACTAGGTTTTTTCACCAAGACTCTATCCTCTGCACAGCAGAAGTAT